TGTTGTTTGTTGTTGTACTTCGTGTTGTCTGGATACTAAAGGATATACAGCATTATGTGTAATGAGATACGTGTAAAAATGATAAGATAAAAAGGAAATTCGTGGTTTAATGGGGTATCACATAGAACGTTTAACAAATAGCCTGAGATCGCCGTGTCGATAAAATATCGGCTGGAGATTCGAGGTGTGTGGTTCGATCTCCTTCCGGGTAGGTTTGAGTTCCTAACGGAGACAACTTAATGGATTGCCCTGTTGTGGTTGTTTCCATGGGCAACGGTTTCACGATTGCTTGGGGTATCATGCTGTGGATCTCCTGCATGGTGTTCAGTGAGAGTTATCAGCTGTTACCAGAAGATTCCAAACTAACACAGCCATTCAAGGGACTATGAAACCAAGCAAGAACCGTACCAACCCCCTTTCCCGAACTTTTCATTAGGTTGGTAATGTCGATAGATTAGCTCTTTTTTCATCATCCTGTGTACTTCTACATTTATTTATTTTTTTGTCATCTCATCACACTACTTTCTTCCTTAGTGAACTAACATAAATATAAAATTATAGTACAGCCGAAAACAAAAGCCGATTCCTAACCATCAGACTGGTCATTTGTTTGATAAAGGTGACCGTGTAGTCATAGAAACGTCACACTCTTACCTTCTACTGGTTGTGTTATAAGATGAAGGTGACTGTGTAGTCATCGAAACGTCACACTCTAACCTTCTACTGGTTGTGTTATATGATTAAGGTGACCGTGTAGTCATAGAAACGTCACACTCTAACATTCTATTAGTTGTGTTTTAAGATGAAGGTGACCGTGTATTTATCGAAACGTCACACTTAAATCTTCTACTGGTTGTGTTGTAAGATTAAGGTGACCGTGTAGTCATAGAAACGTCACACTCTAACCTTCTACTGGTTGTGTTATAAGATGAAAGTGACTGTGTAGTCATCGAAACGTCACGCTCTAATCTTCTACTGGTTGTGTTATATGATTAAGGTGACCGTGTAGTCATAGAAACGTCACACTCTAATCTTCTACTGGTTGTGTTATATGATTAAGGTGACCGTGTAGTCATAGAAACGTCACACTCTAATCTTCTACTGGTTGAGTTATAAGAATTTTTGTTCTATAATCATGAACATACGAACACATCATTTAATTCCCAGACATAAACACACGTTGAAGGAATGATTTTAAAATGTCAACAGATTTACTAACAGTTCACACTGTTTCCATGAAGCTGTTATCTTCTCTCAGGTGGAGGTACTTTGGCTTGAGAGTATATGTCACTGTTATAAAACACATGTATCCCAAGTTGACATTTCTTCCAAATTTTACCAGCGGGATCCGAGGATGCATGTCACACGTACTGTACCATGTTTTATTGACATTTTCTAGTTTTTATCGACACTATTAACAACGACACATATCACTCCGATGGGCGTAATATACGTAAAACAACGCTCACAATCACTGCAACTGGTAGTACGTCCCCATGTCCTGTACATCCTCAGTCAAAATACATGGACACTTCAATACAACTGGATCATGTGATCACATTTGTGACGTCACAGAATGACGTATGAAGAATAGGATGATTAATCAAAGAAATGTGCATGTATCCAATGGATGTGTTTAGGAAAAAAACGTGTTGCTGGCAAGTAAAACTGATTTCAATTTATAGGTTTCCAGCGGCAGTATTGCGTGTTACGGAGTCCGTAACGGCATTGAAAAAAATAATTTGGTCATGTGACCTTGTGGCGTTATCAAACCGATTAGGATAACACCGACATCTGTATTCCGTATACAGCATCATCACGTGGGTTAACTACAGTAATAACGAACTAGTGTGTGGTAGTGTTGCCTTTTTTGTTGTATACACACCAACAAACACAGTTCAAAAGGGTTCTCCGATTTATTATAGACTTAACCCTGTAACAATATGAAATAATAATTAGCGATGATTTTACCGTACATTCAATATCGCACATATGCAGCACAATATAATGATAACAAGCCATTCGCTTATACCTGTACATATACAACTATAAAAATCACAACTACTTTAGGAACTTGATTTATAGTTTCATATATTCTAGTTATATGAATAGATGGTTAAGATGAAATAAATACAATAAATATCAATTATATGGGTGTAGCAGGTTACTACAATATAACCACTGTAATTACAGGTAACTTGTCTGAACAACGATGTCCGAGGTTATGGCTGGACATTCACGACACCGATACAAGTAATCACTAGGTTATTGTTCATATCTTCGTTCGTTTTCATTGGACACTGGACGGCGTCCCTAAGATATAGCTGGTCACTGTACATCACCCTTAGATAGAGCTGGTCAGTGTACCGCACCCTTAGCTAGAGCTGGTCACTGTACAGCATCCTTGTATAGAGCTGGTCACAGTACAGCACCCTTAGATAGAGCTGGTCACTGTACAGCACCCTTAGATAGGGCTGGTCACTGTACAGCACCCTTAGATAAAGCTGGTCACTGTACAGCATCCTTAGATAAAGCTGGTCACTGTACAGCACCCTTACATAGGCTTGATCACTGTACAGCATCCTTAGATAGGGCTGGTCACTGTACAGCACCCTTAGATAAAGCTGGTCACTGTACAGCATCCTTAGATAGGGCTGGTCACTGTACAGCACCCTTAGATAAAGCTGGTCACTGTACAGCAACCTTAGATAAAGCTGGTCACTGTACAGCACCCTTACATAGAGTTGATCACTGTAAAGCACCCTTTAGATAGGGCTGGTCACTGTACAGCACCCTTAGATAAAGCTGGTCACTGTACAGCACCCTTAGATAAAGCTGGTCACTGTACAGCAACCTTAGATAGGGCTGGTCACTGTACAGCACCCTTAGATAAAGCTGGTCACTGTACAGCACCCTTACATAGAGTTGATCACTGTACAGCACCCTTAGATATAGTTGATCACTGTACAGCACCCTTTGATAAAGCTGGTCACTGTACAGCATCCTTAAATAAAGCTGGCCATTGTACAGCACCCTTACATAGACTTGATCACTGTACAGCATCCTTAGATAGGGCTGGTCACTGTACAGCACCCTTAGATAAAGCTGGTCACTGTACAGCAACCTTAGATAAAGCTGGTCACTGTACAGCACCCTTACATAGAGTTGATCACTGTAAAGCACCCTTTAGATAGGGCTGGTCACTGTACAGCACCCTTAGATAAAGCTGGTCACTGTACAGCACCCTTAGATAAAGCTGGTCACTGTACAGCAACCTTAGATAGGGCTGGTCACTGTACAGCACCCTTAGATAAAGCTGGTCACTGTACAGCACCCTTACATAGAGTTGATCACTGTACAGCACCCTTAGATAGGACTGGTCACTGTACAGCACCCTTACATAGAGCTGGTCACTGTAAAGCACCCTTATATAGTGCTGGTCACTGTACAGCACCCTTAGATAGAGCTGGTCACTGTACAGCACCCTTAGATATAGTTGATCACTGTACAGCACCCTTTGATAAAGCTGGTCACTGTACAGCATCCTTAAATAAAGCTGGCCATTGTACAGCACCCTTACATAGACTTGATCACTGTACAGCATCCTTAGATAGGGCTGGTCACTGTACAGCACCCTTACATAGAGTTGATCACTGTAAAGCACCCTTAGATAGGGCTGGTCACTGTACAGCACCCTTAGATAAAGCTGGTCACTGTACAGCACCCTTAGATAAAGCTGGTCACTGTACAGCAACCTTAGATAGGGCTGGTCACTGTACAGCACCCTTAGATAAAGCTGGTCACTGTACAGCACCCTTACATAGAGTTGATCACTGTACAGCACCCTTAGATAGGACTGGTAACTGTACAGCACCCTTAGATAAAGCTGGTCACTGTACAGCACCCTTACATAGAGTTGATCACTGTACAGCAACCTTAGATAGGGCTGGTCACTGTACAGCACCCTTAGATAGAGTTGGTCACTGTACAGCACCTTTAGATAAAGCTGGTCACTGTACAGAACCCTTATATAAAGCTGGTCACTGTACAGCATCCTTAGATAGAGCTCGTCTTTGTACAGCACCCTTAGATAGGGCTGGTCACTGTACAGCATCCTTTTATAGAGCTCGTCACTGTTCAGCATCCTTATATAGAGCTGGTCACTGTGCAACATCCTTATATAGTGCTGGTGAGTGTACAGTTATCTGCAAATTTCATATCAACAGGCGTTAGCAGGCAACAATAGTAGCCATAGATACACATTTCCTGCACAAAACAATACTGTAGATGTTCCTAGAGGAAACATATTTGATATTAGATTGAAAAAAGAAAGAAACAAGAAAATGTGGGATGGACAAATAAATATTTTCAAAAATCTAAAATCGCATTCTTGAATTTTCGACGAAAAGTCGGCAATGTTTGTTTGAGGAAGATGTCACTTGAATAATGGCATCGGAATAAATAGGTTACAAGAATGAAAACTAATCTGAATGGAAAAAGCGTGTCTTTAGAGTATTACAGTTACTAGAATGTTTCAAAATAAATCTTGTAAAGGGATTTAGGAAGCAAAAACTCAAACAAGATTTATGGGGACTGAACTTAGGTTACTGAAGAATGTTTAACCGGGAGTTTACTTTGGGATATGCAGAGTGTGTGTTGTATGGATAATTCAACAACTATCTATTTCCCGAGGGAGGAGGTGTTAGATAGCCCTCTGTCCACCGACAAGATTAATTACCGTCACAGCACGTGACCTTAACTAGGTTCTGTCACCTCTCTACCATTTCCGCACGTAAGGTTCACGTACCTTTATAGGCTTGTATAGGACACATCGGCAATGGGAAGTGCAGCGAGTGGGCGTGTCTGTTAACTGAAATGTACACAATCGCGCGCTCATTAGCATATGATTTACATGCCATTTACGTAGAATTAAACATTCCGGTTATTACCTCTGTCGAGTTAGTATATGTACATTTCTTACAGTCACGCTGTGTTAAAAGCTCGCATTGAAACTCCTGTCCGCAAATCAGTTGCTTAAAGGCTTAAGATAGGTTTGTGTGGAGTTTTCAATGCCTGCCCGCTGTTATCGGGAGGACAGCGTAGAAAGTTTCCTGTGGGCACGAAGGGGGTCTCTAGTGATGAAAACTGATCGTGTCCGGAATATCTGTTTTCGTTTGGAATTAATTCTATTGGATCGTGTGACCAAGAAACGTACATCGGATATTGATCAATGCTGATAGTGTAGGTAAGTGTTGATGCATTCGAAAATATCTGGGTAAAAGTAAAGAAACGGATGTTGTAATTTTTTAATGTAAAGTATTTAATTTTACTTTAAACAAGTTATATGTTACACATTTAACCGTAAGAAAAGGTCAATAAAAATAAATACTGCAATACATTCATTCTTATCTAAAACCCACATTTCAGTGTTACCTGAACTACATGATAAGAACGACACTGTTCAAGAAACCTAAAATCAATAGAAGTGTGTAGTGGCGATGTCACGTGTATTACTGTCTGTCAGATCTACAGTATATATTGTACGTGTATTACTGTCAGGTCTACAGTATATATCGTACGTGTATTACTGTCTGTCAGATCTACAGTATATATCGTACGTGTATTACTGTCTGTCAGATATACAGTATATATCGTACGTGTATTACTGTCAGATCTACAGTATATATCGTACGTGTAGTACTGTCAGATCTACAGTATATATCGTACGTGTATTACTGTCTGTCAGATATACAGTATATATCGTACGTGTATTACTGTCTGTCAGATCTACAGTATATATCGTACGTGTATTACTGTCTACAGTATATATCGTACGTGTATTACTGTATATATATATATCGTACGTGTATTACTGTCTGTCAGATATACTATATATCAGTATATATCAGTATATATCGTGTATTACAGATCTACAGTATATATCTACGTGTATTACTGTCAGATCTACAGTATATATCGTACGTGTAGTACTGTCAGATCTACAGTATATATCGTACGTGTATTACTGTCAGGTCTACAGTATATATCGTACGTGTAGTACTGTCAGATCTACAGTATATATCGTACGTGTAGTACTGACAGATCTACAGTATATATCGTACGTGTAGTACTGTCAGATCTACAGTATATATCGTACGTGTATTACTGTCAGATCTACAGTATATATCGTACGTGTAGTACTGTCAGATCTACAGTATATATCGTACGTGTATGACTGTCAGATCTATAATATATATCGTACGTGTTTTACTGACTGTCAGATCTATATTATATATAACGACTTCATCAAAGGACATAACTGAGATTTCACTTTTGTAATTTTATTAATTTGCCTGAGACTATAATGTATTATATATAAATTTTGTATTTGATATAATCTCCGTTATATAATACAGGTCAAAACATAGGGCTTAATCAGCTCCTTGACATGAAGGTAGCATGTCACAGCTTTGACACTGATACTACGGAATTCACTGATCACTTAATGTCCCAGATCTGATGATGTCACGACCTGAATTAGATTCTTCACCAATCGCATTACGTAACGTCGCTGATTCGAATACATGATGTGCGCGTGTGTGTTGCACATGCATTTGTTCTAAGTGTGCAACATAAAATGAGCAGTACAGAACATTTATCATAGTTCAGTTCCACGTGCATGTAATCAGATTGCTTTAGGATGAAAAGACACAAAACTTGAAAGCACAATACGAAGCTTTAGAAACAAATGATGGTAAGTAAAGGAGATCATAATAGTAGAGAATGTATGTAAAAGATATTGATAAAAAATCTAAAACAATGTATTAGCGTACATACCTCATTAATTCTTATGCTTTCAACTTTAATCACGTGCCATTCCTTAAGGAGAACACAGTTCTTTCCTAATTACGATGAGAAATTGGAGAATGTAAGAAATTTCATTGCGAGTTAAATAGGCATATTCCTAGCACGATATCTTACTGAATGGGATCGATGGAGGGAAAAGGTTAACAAAAACACGTTCTGGTAAAATTTCGATGTAGTCTATGAGATATATTCGATGGAAGTAATTTTGGACCAAGGAGTTGAAACGTTTACAAGAAGTCTTTGTGATTCGCTGAACCTATATCAGGCGCCTTTGTTCAGGTATATAGATAGTCTTGTGTACAGTCTATTGCTATTGGACTTTATTGCTCTGTGAGACTTTCTAATTTTTATGAGACAGTCAATTTTATCTAAGGAGTGGATATTTACAAAATAATTGTAGAAACTTTGAAGATCGAGTTCAAGACCAACCATACCGGTAGGAAAGTTTTGACTGAAGATTGATCTAATTTGACCGATGTTGCGTTGCTAGCCCCATACAACTAAATCGAAAAATTTGACCATGTTACATGTTTCTTCAGGACATTTCGGTTGGTGGGATCACATGGACCAAAACCTATCGTTGAAATAGTCTAGATTTGCTTCAAACGGTAAATGTAAATATCATAAATATACCACGCCCGATGCATTTTAGGAACGCCAGTAGGCGGCCGGTAGCTTTTATATAAACGTCGGTAGGAGTGATGTTTTCATTAATGTCACTCTACTTTTCTTTTGAACTTAATCAGTTTTTGCAAATTTCATAGCCAACATATACGTCTCATTTTAATTTTTCATTTTTTATTATTTCTTATTTTTTTCTTTCTTTTTTTTTGTTTTGTTTTTTATGTTTTTTTTTTAATAATTTTCTTCTATCTTTTTCTCGTTAGTTTTGCAAAAGTCTTTAAATCAGAAAACGAGAGTTTAATATCCTCTACATGTAGTTTACGTTAACCGTTTTTATCGTGTACGTTTTCTATTGTTTTGAAATGTCTTCAATATATACATGTTTATCATACTTTTATTGTATCATGTCCCAGTTTCTCAGTATTGTTCGCGGAGAATGTGTTCTTTGTTAGCACACAGGAAAACTGTGTGCAAACAGGACGTCGTCGCTTGTCCCTTTCACATGCTAAAGGAACTGTTCAGTTTTAAAACCGACAGCGCCCTTCGTTTTTTTAACTATAGGATTGAGTAAGAAAATTCTCAAAGGCTTGGCTTAGGGCATTTGATACTGTTACACCAACAGCAGGATAGAAAGTAAATATATCATCAGGTAAAATTATTTTTGTTTTGAGTCAGTTGGTGATTCCGTTCTGTTACGATCCGTGGCCATTCCGTGTTTTAGTCACACCCCGTAGTGTACATCCTTGTAATGGAAGTCGAGCCATCTGATCAAAGGACAGACTTGTTTTTAGCATTGTGAAACAGTCTGATATTACAATATTGAACACGAACATGTTGACAGTTCGATAGACCGATAACATGCATCCAGACAAACTCATATTTTAAAATATTTTCCAGACGACATCAAGCTAATGTAAAAATTTAATCATTTTTGCTATTATGCTATGTACGGGGGTAGAGATATCGTTAGAGGAGCGAGTTTACGACAATCGAAAACATCCGAGGTGTACAGTTCGATCCCTACACCAGACGGTTTTAGTTTCTCATGTCTCATGGGCTGTCCTGTCCTGTCGTGTTGGTGGTATTCGCCTCTTTTCCTCACTGAATTGCTCAGGTGTAACGGGCGTCCCGCATTATTTTCGGTGATGTTTCCACCAGCTGTTAATTTGAAACCCTGTCCTGAAATAACCTAGATCATTGCCAAGACGATAAATTCTGCAAACATTATTTTATCTGTTAGAATATATATTATTTTCTTGTTCTATATTTATATTTACGGTAATCGAACACGTTTTCCATTATATATTTCTATATTTCTGCGCTAACTAGTTCTTAAACCAGGTTATTTTTGTGATAAACCAAACGTTTGTCAGCCTACATTCTATCACTCTATGAGTGAGGTTATTGTTACTATGACACAAGTTCGAGTACAACAATCTGGGTGGATATTGGAAGTTATGTGCTAAACAGTGGGCGTTGTTGATAAAGGTTGATTACTGTAGTGGGTGTGATTATTACAGGGTAATGTCAGTTATATTATAGTAACTTAATTGGAAAGGAGGTCTATTGAATATTGAACATAGGTGTCACTTATTATTGCTATATAACGATATAGGCTTACCTAACTATATAATATATTAATAGTTTATTTCATCTAGCCTGTGTAGTGCTGCCAGCTATTACAGTATATTAATCGGCGTTCGATAGCATTATCGCTCAGTTAGGCCTGGTTATAAGTAACAGAGGCTGGTCGAGATAATATTCTCGATATGAGAGGCACTCAGTAGCACGTCTTTAAGTGTTAACAATGCATGCCTAGCGCGTTACATTTACAGAGAAAAGTTGATTGAATCTTGTAATTTGTTGAACTGTGGTGATATGTGGATATTTGGTAAACAAGCATTTTTATTTCTTCTCTGAAGAAGTACATGTAAGTATTTTTTTTCTATTTTGCATTGTGATATTGAATACTGATAATTGATACTGATGTAATTGTATACAGGAACAATTATGTCTCTTTCTAGGAATTAACTTACGTAGTACCGTTGTTCTCCGCGAGACTGCGCGTATTGAGACTTTTATTCTAAATAAATCAGAACCGAAGCCAGCGGGGGAAAAGCTTGATACGAACTTCTGCGTGTAAATTTAAGATATATTAATATAATGCCGTGAATAGCGTGCACAATTTTATCAAGTTTACCTACACATCAGTTTTGGTTCTCAGAGTTCATCACAAGTACTTTATGTATATCATCCTGGACAACAAGAGTACATGGTACATATGTTAACATTGATAAAACATGTTTCATCATTTTCTAAAAGTAAATAAAAGTTTTAAAATACCATCGGACATCGCCTTTTTTATCGTAATCGGACATCGGACATCGCCTTTTTTATCGTAATCGTACATCGGACATCGCCTTTTTTATCGTAATCGTACCATCGGACATCGCCTTTTTTATCGTAATCGTACCATCGGACATCGCCTTTTTTATCGTAATCGTACATCGGACATCGCCTTTTTTATCGTAATCGTACATCGGACATCGCCTTTTTTATCGTAATCGTACATCGGACATCGCCTTTTTTATCGTAATCGTAATCGTTTTTTATCGTAATCGTACATCGGACATCGCCTTTTTTATCGTAATCGTACATCGGACATCGCCTTTTTTATCGTAATCGTACATCGGACATCGCCTTTTTTATCGTAATCGTACATCGGACATCGCCTTTTTTATCGTAATCGTACAT